GGGAGGCCGAGGTGGGTGGATCATCTGAGGTCAGGAGTTCAAGACTAGCCTGGCTAACATGGTGAAACCCCATCTCCACTAAAAATAAAAAATTAGTTGGGTGTGGTGGCAGGCGCCTGTAATCCCAGCTACTCAGGAGGCTGAGGCAAAAGAATCACTTGAAACTGGGAGGCGGAGGCTTCAGTGAGCTGAAATTGTGCTGTTGCACGCAATCCTGAATGACAAGAGCGAAACTCCATCTTCAAAAATAAAAGAGAAAAAGAAAAAAAAAACTGGTATCATCCCATATTTATGAGGCTGTGTGGAATTGGGTGCTGTATATGAGGTATAAATTAATGCAGCCATTTGGAAGGCAACTGGCCAATGTCTATAAACTATAAACAGCATATACCTTTCAACAGAACCATCCAACTTCTAGAAATCCACCTTTAAAGGTATTTGAGTGCATACACAAAGCTATATTTATAAGCAATTTAGATGAACTTCAGTGGCGTTGCTGTATTTTGTAACAGTTCTAATTCTTAGGTCGTTCTTCCTTACCCTGCTGGAATCTACTCACCAGCTCCTGGGTCCAAGGTTTCCTTCCCTAGGGCCTCACAAAGCAAATCTAATCGAAGGTCATGTCATTAACTTTGTCCTTCCTTGGGTGTGGCCTGTATATAAACTCCATGGGCTCTACAGGTCAAACTTGGGATACAATGTCCAGAAACACACTTCAGATTACCAGAATTTTTAGAAGCCCAATTGAATGGAGCAGGAGTCTCAAAACAAAACAATGATTACAACACATTATAGTCTCAAAGAAATATAACAGCATCAACAGCTGTCCATTCATTTACTTGGCACTTGAGCAGTCATTCATTGGGTGTCATTCACTGGGCGGATATTTACTGCACTGACTCTGATGCTGCCCACTCTTTTTTGAAAGACCTCACATACACAGATCAATACTGGTGGCGCTGCTGTGAAAAGTTCTCATCCTACAGGTAGGGAACAACTGGTAGATTGTTAGAATGTCTCTAGCCTTCTGGTTTAAAATGGAAATGTTCCTTATGCACACCGAGAACCAAAACCCTTTACGGGTTCCTAGGATTGAGGAGGGAGAAAAAGAACCAAAACCCTTTCCTTTGTGGTTGGCAAGTATTCTTTTTTAAAAATGTTTTTAACTTTATTATTACTTTTTTTTGAGATGGTGGCCTCCCTATGTTGTCCAGCCTGGTCTCAAATCCTTGAATTCAAGGGATCCTCCCCACTTGACCTCTCAAAGCACTGGGATTACAGGCGTGAGACAGTTTGTAATCCACAAGTATTCTCAAGAGAAAACATAGAAAGATCCCACCTGGCCACAGGTACTCTTTTTTTTTTTTTTTTTTTTTTTTGGGGGGGATGGTGTTCCGCTCCATCACCCAGGTTGGAGTGCAGTGCAACCTCGGCTCACTGCAACCTCCCCATCCTGGGTTCAAGCAATTCTGCTGCCTCAGCCTCCTAAGTAACTAGGATTACAGGCGCACACCACCACGCCCAGCTAATTTTTGTATTTTTAGTAGAGACCAGGTTTCACCATGTTGATCAGGCTGGTCTTGAACTCCTGAGCTTGTGATCCGCCCGCCTCTACCTCCCAAAGTGCTGGGATTACAGGCATAAGCCACCAGGCCCAGCCCACAAGTACTCTTAAAAGGAAACGCAGGAAGAATTTTCCTAATTCCTGACTTTGCCTGGAATAAGCATTACTTATTATCGATCACAGAGCCAGTGTGTTGGCCAAAGACTTGAAAGGGCACTGTGCTCATTTACACAGGACAGTTGACTACCTTAAAAAAAAAAAAAAAAAAAAAAAAATTTTTTAAAAAAAAGTTTTTTTTTTTTTCCCTCTTTTTTTTTTTTTTTTTTTTTTCTGAGACCGAGTTTTGCTCTTGTTGCCCAGGCTAGAGTGCAATGGTGCCATCTCAGCTCACTGCAATCGCCGCTTCCCAGGTTGAAACGATTCTCCTGCTGTACCCTCCCAAGTAGCTGGGATTACAGGCACCCACCACCACACCTGGCTAATTTTGTATTTTTAGTAGAGACGAGGTTTCACCATGTTTGTCAGGCTGATCTCAAACTTCTGACCTCAAGTGATCCACCTGCCTGGGCCTCCCAAAGTGCTAGAACTATAGGGGTGAACCACCGTGCCTGGCCAAAAAGAGATTTCTATAAAGAGATTTACATAGGAGACTCCTAACATTTGCAAGAGATTTTTCCAGACCTTTCAGATACCCTAATCCACTACATACCACATTGTGTCTCCCAAAATTACATTGTAAACTACAGCCAGGCTGGACACAGTAACTCACACCTGTAATCCCAGCACTTTGGGAGGCCAAGGCGGTCACATCACTTAAGGTCAGGAGTTCGAGACTAGCCTGGCCAACATGGAGAAACCCTGCCTCTACTAAAAATACAAAAATTAGCCCGGTGTAGTGGCATGCACCTATAATCCCAGCTACCCAGGAGACTGAGGCAGGAGAATCGCTTGAACCTCGGAGGCAGAGGTTGCAGTGAGCCGAGACTGTGCCACTGCACTCCAGCTTGGGCAACAGAGTGAAATTCCATCTGAAGAAGAAAAAAAAAAAAAACTATAGTCAGAAAATTACATGTCAGTCCTTAAATGATTCTATAAATGTAGAAGTAATTTATAAAATTGGTATTTGAAGAGTATTGACCATACTCAGTACTTTGCACCTGAGATCTCAACGAAGGAATGAAAAAGAAAACGGTTAGTTCAATCTCTTCTTTTCTTTTAGTAAAGATTAATCTCTCTCTTGATGAGCAGTTTTGGCACTGGCTGATGCACTCACTAAACAACTTTTCCTTGTGTCTCAGTGACACACATGGTTGATCTAATGCTATCAGGGATCTCAGACACCATGCCAATGTATCCAAAAATTCTATTTGTAGTCAAAAAACAAAGTCACTTTCTTATTACCTCCTCACTTTCTCTTTGTTTGTATCACTGGCATTATTGAGTGATTTATTTTATGAATCTTTTCTACTCTGCAAACAGGAAACAAATATTTTAATCACTGTATGCAAACTACATAAAGGATAATAGTTCTGTGAGATGTCCAGGCAGAGCAGTAGGCCTGGCTCACTAATAGGCAAAGCCAGTCATTCAACTCATATTCATTCATAATGGGCCTTTGGGAGTAACTAATAAATTACCAAAATTGCAAGTGTTGAAACTGCAAATGTCAGGGACTTCCAGTGGATTCTCTTGACAACATGTACATAGCCATCATTTGTCAGTTCCCTTGGGGAATTTATCTTCTCCTGGTGGGTAGCAGGAAACGGCTTCCGTTAGAGACACTAACCATGCCCAATATTCACTTTTCTGTGTTCCTACGTAGCTAGAGTGACCTACACTTGACCAATCAGCTGCATTTGCTTAGGATTTCTGACGCTGGAGGTGGGGATGGGAAAAATTATTTACAGTGATTGCAGCAGTGGCAGCAGGATCCAGTGTCCAGACAGGCTTGCCATTGGGTCAGCATGGCATCCAGCATCCAACGCCAGCCGTGGCTGTGATGAAGGCAGCAGCAGCTCTGAGGCTGTCCTCAGCATCTGGCTCTGTGATGGGATTTTGGTGTAATTCTAGGTGCCTGGTCTCTCTGCGTTTCTGCTTATTTTCCAAGCCTTGTTTCTACAGTCTTCCAGTGATTCTGTAACTTACTCAATGTGCTTTCAACAAAATTCATTTCCCGATTTAATTAGTCATAGTCAGTTCCCATTTTTGCAATCAAAAACCTGACTAGGTTGGGCATGGTAGCTCATACCTGTAATCCTAGCACTTTGGGAGGCCAAGGCGGGAGAACTGCTTGAGCCCAGAACTTCAAGACCAGCCTGGGCAACATAGTGAGACCCTCGTCTCTAAAAAAAATTAAAACATTAGCTGGGCATAGTACTGTGTGGATGTGGTCCCAACTACTTGGGAGGCTAAGGTGGGAGGATTGCTTGAGCCTGGGAGGTTGAGGCTACAGTGAGCTGTGATCATACCACTGCACCCTGGGCAATAGAAAGAGACTTAAAAAAAACTAAAAGAATTTGACTAATACACCTGAATAGCCAAGAAATTCTTCTTAACTCTACCTGGAGTATTCTTGTTGCAAGTTAAATTCAGTTCTTGGCCGGGCGCGGTGGCTCACACCTGTAATCCCAGCATTTTGGGAGGCTGAGTTGTGTGGATCACCTGAGGTCAGGGGTTCGAGACAAGCCTGGCTAACATCGCAAACCCCATCTCTACTAAAAGTACAAAAAAAAAAAAAAAAATTAGCCAGGTGAGGTGGCGGATGCCTTTAATCCCAGCTACTGGGAAGGCCGAGGCAGGAGAATCATTGGAACCCAGGAGACAGAGGTTGCAGTCAGCCAAGATTGCTCCACTACACTCCAGCCTGGGCAACAGAGATAGACTCCACCTCAAAAAAAAAAAAAAAAAAAAAAAAATCAATAAAAAATAAATAAATTCATGTTCTGCGTTTGGGAGGCGTAGTGTGAGGAGCATAGAATCAGGAGATGTGTTTTCTGGTCTACACTGCCACTTCCTGGCTGTGTGACCAGGAGCAAGTTCTTTCCTGGCTCTGAGCCGTAGTTCTCTCAGCTGCACAGTAAAGTTCCCCAGACTGGCTTTGCCAAAAAATGTATCAAAAACTAACCGGGGCTGGGTACAGTGGCTCATGCCTATAATCCCAGCACCTTGGGAGGCCAAGGTGGGCGGATCACCTGAGGTCAGGAGTTAGAGACCAGCCTGGCCAACATAGTGAAACCCCATCTTTACTAAAATACAAAAAAATTAGCCAGGCATGGTGTTGCGTGCCTGTCATCCCGACTACTTGGGAGGCTGAGGCAGGAAAATCGCTTGAACCTGGGAGGTGGAGGTTGCAGTGAGCCAAGATTGTGCCACTGAGCTCCATCCTGGGTGACAGACCAAGACCCTGCCTCAATCAATCAATAAAAGAATGCTTGTGGTGCTCCCTTTGGCAGCACATATACTAAAACTGAAACGATACAGAGATTAGCATGGCCCCTGCACAAGGATGACACGCAAATTCATGAAGTATTTCATACAAAATATCAGAGTTATTTAAAAATAAAAAAAAGAATGCTTGTGGAAAAAACAGGGAAAGACAGAGGAAGACAAAGAGAGGAGGGAAAAGGGGAAGGAGGAATTCTAACGACACATTGACTAAGTCTTTGTGTGACTTTGTGTTGAAAAGAGCCTGCTACCAACCCTTTCCTCTGCACGGCTACACCCCTTCCATTGTCATTCTATCATTGGGTACCATTGCTGTGAAGCCGCCATGTCATAATGGCTACCAAAAAAGGGGCTTACCATCTATCTGCCTTTGAAGAATACCCTACCTTGTGTTTGACACTGGAAAGACCTGAATTCTACTCCCAGCATCCACATTTAGTTTTTCACTGGGCCGGAGTTTCCTCAGCTGTAAAACAGAGCTCAGCCGGGCACAGTGGCTCACACCTGTAATCCCAGCACTTTGGGAGACAAAGGCGGGTGGATCACCTGAGGCCAGGAGTTCGAGACCAGCCTGACAAACATGGAAAAACCCCATCTCTACCAAAAATACAAAATTAGGCCAAGCTCAGTGGCTCACGCCTATAATCCCAGCACTTAGGGAGGTCGAGGTGGGCAGATTACGAGGTGAGGAGTTCGAGACCAGCCTGGACAATATGGTGAAACCCTGTCTCTACTAAAAATATGAAAAAATTAGCTGGGGGTGGTGGTGAGTGCCTGTAATCCCAGCTACTCGGGAGGCTGAAGCAGGAGAATTGCTTGAACCCGGGAGCCAGAGGCTGCAGTGAGCCAAGATTGTGCCACCACACTCCAGCTTGGGCAATAGAGGGAGACTCTGTCTCAAATAAATAAATAAATAAAAACAATAAATAAGCCTGGCATGGTGGCGCATTCCTGTAATCCCAGCTACTCAGGAGGCTGAGGCAGGAGAATCGCTTGAACACCGGAGGCAAAGGTTTCGGTGAGCCAAGATCACGCCATTTCACTCCAGCCTGGGCAACAAGAGCGAAACTCCGTCTCAAAAAAAAGCAAACAGAGTTCACCTCTGCCCTGAGTATCTTACAGAATTGTTGTAAGAATCAAATAAAATAATAAAGAGTTACTGGAATAATAAACTTACTGTGTGCTAGCTCCCAGGTTAATTATGAGCGTTCTCTTAATTTTTACAGCTTTGTAAGACAGAGTAATAACATTCCCATTTAAGGATAAAGAAACCCAGTCTCCCAAAGTAACTTGTTCAAGGTCTCCCAGCTAAGGATGGGAGGGCTGGGAGAAGAGCCTCAGGCGCCTGACTCCAAAGCCCGGCATGTTCCACTGCCCCTGTGATTTACATGTACCAAGTGTTATAGAAAGATTCTTCTTCATCTGTCATGGGATTAGGGTTAAAAATAAAAATTTACTCCTGCCTTGGCAACAAAGCAAGACCCTGTCTCAAAAATAAATAAATTTAAGATAAAATTTAAATTTATTTTTTATAATAAATTTAAAAAATAATTTTATTTATTATAAAAAAATAAATTGATAACAGTGCAATGGGGTGCAATGACATGATCCTGGCTCATTGAGACCTCCACCTCCCAAGTTCAAGCGATTCTCCTGCCTCAGCTTCCTAAGTAGCTGGAATTACAGGCATGAGCCACCACACCTGGCTAATTTTGTATTTTTAGTAGAGACAGGGTGTTGGCATTTTTAGTAGAGACAGGGTGTTGGTCGTGTTCTCCATGTTGGTCAGACTGGTCTCGAACTCCCAACCTCAGGTGATCCGCCCGCCTCTGCCTCCCAGAGTGCTGGAGGCATGAGCCACCATGCACCCAGCCACATAAAAAAAATTTTTAATAAAAAATAATGCACCAGGCATAGTGGCTCATATCTGTAATCCTAGCACTTTGAGAGACCGAGGCAGGAGGATTGCTTGAGGCCAGGAGTTTGAGACTAGCCTGGGCAATACAGTGAAAATCCTTCTTTACAAAAAAAAATTTTTTAATTTTTTTTTAAGACAGGGTTTCACCATGTTGGTCAGGCTGGTCTTGAACTCCCGACCTCAGGTGATCTGCCCACCTCGGCCTCCCAGAGTGCTGGGATTACAGGTGTAAGCCACTGCGCCTGGCCAAAAATGTTTTAAAAATTAAAGTTTGCCAGGAGCAGTGGTGTGCACACCTGCACTTCCAGCTACTAGGGAGGCTAAGGCGGGAGGATCACTTGAACCAGGAAGTTCAAGATTGCAGTGAGCTACAATGGTGTCACTTGTACTCTAGCCTAGGTGACAGAGTGAAACCCTGTCTCCAAAAACTAAATTAAAAAATTTAAGAAAAGAAGTGTGAATCTTCTTTTTGGTTATTTTCATCTCACCTTCCTGTACTGTTATCTCCCTCCTTTTCCTCCAGCTGCCTAGACAGTCCCAGACAAGACCCTGGGAATTCCCAAAAGGAAGCTGCAGAGGATGTGGCAGGTCTTGACCCCTGGGGGAAGATGGATCTGGGAATTCCCACCATCCCCATTGCTACCACAAGGACTCTGGGTGGACACAGTGTCCAGGACGGGGAAAGGATTTGCCCATTTGAGAAGAGGACTAAATCAGGCTCACCTTCCCTTCTTCACCTCACCCAGGAGGGCACTGGCAAGGCCAACACCCTTACGACAACTCCTTTTCCATGGCAGACACTTTTAGTGGTGAGCTTGTGCTGCTTTCCTAGCTGCATTCAAACAGGGAGCTTTTTAATATCTGAATTGTTTTTTCTAAACAGCTGGCCCCACCCACTCATTGGTACCAGGCGGGTTCCTGCCGGGGCTGAGACCAGCCTTGATGTGGCAGGGGGGTGGGAGGGGGCGGGGGGGAGCTCAAGAGGCTGGGCAGCGGGCTGTGCTGGGTGTAGCCAATTGCTGCCCAGCTGGGCCTGGCGGGGAGGCTTTCGGTGGTGTTGCTAGGCACCTGGGTAATTGGAGAGGCCGGGATTGGGCTTCTGGACCACAGAGCTTGACAGCCTCCTTCATCACACTGCAAACTGTCATTATGCCAGAGGCCTGCAGCAATCTCTTTGTGGTTACAGCCTGAAATGATGCTTTTTTAGCTACGGAAATTAACAACTGGCTTTTCAATATTATAGGTCTGTGATTGTGGTTGCTTTCTTTTGGCTACATTTCTGAGGCTACACTTGCAATAAACAGGCAAAAGATTTAAAAACAAAAAATACCTTCACAAACCCCCCTTCCTGAAGCAAAGCACACTTGACGTCAGTAGTAAGGGCAACTAAGGTGGGGAACTCCACTTCCTGAGCTCTCGCCATGGTTCACTCCGGGTTAAAAGCTTCTTCCTTGAAACTTCACGGGTGGGCTGTGGTTCAGGGTCGGGGATCCAGAGCTCCGGTCACGTGCAGGGTCTCTCAGCGGAATAATGTCAGGTCCATTCAAAGACAATCATAACACCCCAGCCCTCAGTCTCCAGAACCACTTTCGCTTATATTATTTTTGGGACTCTCCCATCTGCTCTATGACGAAGACATCTCTCTTATTCCCATTTTACAGGTGAACAACTAAGGCAAAAAAGAGGCCTCCGTGATTACATACCTAGCAACAGCAAAGCTGGGGCACAAACCCAGGAATCTCGGCCCAGAGTCTGGGCTACCCCGCAGCTATTTCACATATTATGTATATTTGAGTACCCTATTATAGTATTTGTAATTTTTTTTTTTTTTTTTTTTTTTTTTTTGAGAAAGAGTCTGTTTTTTACCAGGCTGGGGTGGAAAGTTGCAATCACGGCTCACTGCAACCTCCACCTCCCAGGTTCAAGCGATTCTCCTGCCTCAGCCTCCCAAGTAGCACCACCACGCCCGGCTAATTTTTGTATTTTTAGTAGAGACGGGGTTTCACCATGTTGGCCAGGATGGTCTCAAACTCCTGACCTCCTGATCTCTCTGCCTCAGCCTCCCAAAGTGCTGAGATTACAGGCATGAGCCACCGCCCCCAGCCTATGGTATTTGTAATAGTAAAAATAATACACACTGGTGTAGAAGGCATAGAAATTTCACCCTGTATCTTGTCTTATCCTAAACACATCATCTTTGTTGATTGTAAATGGGCTTTCAACGCTGTGGTGTGTGCACTAAGGGATATAGTCTGAAAGAATTCCCAAAGACAGACACACTACTTATGTGAGTTAACAGACCTAGCACAGCAGAGCACAGGGCTGAAGGAAAACGCTGACCCTGAGCCACTTCCTCCTTCATTCAAGGACAGTTGGCTCAGGCCCTTAAGTAAGGAGACAAAATCATGGCTTTCAGTAGATATTTGTAGGCATTTTTCAAAAAAGGCTTTCACTGACTCATCTAGAATGTTTTTTCAATAGTGATCCATTGATAATGACCAGCTGTCTGGCTTACTCAGGACTGGGAGTTTCTTGGGATGTGAGACTTTTAGTGCTAAAATCAGGGCAAGGCAAGGGTGTTGGTCACCCTGTCACGGACCACCTGCATCAGAATGATCTGCGGAGGTTAGCAGAGATGGCTGGTTCTAATCCTAGGGCAGTAGTTCTTCACCCTGGCCTCACATCAGAATCATTTGAGGAGACTTCAATGTGTCTGAGCTCACCCCAGATCAATGGAATCTGGGTCTCTGGGGTGAAGGCCTGGCACTCGTATCTTTTCATGAGCAGCCAAGACTGGAAACTTTTCCCCTAGAGATCTGGATTCAGAGGGTCTCGGCTCAGGTCTTGTTCAGAAATCTGCTTGCATTTTTAACAGCTCCCAGAGGATTCTTATATTCACCATGTTTTGACAACCAGTGAATGCTTATGTGATGAGTGCATCCAATGGTAAGCATGCACTGAATGCCGTGTATGTGTTAGGCTCTGGAAACACAGATAAAAAAAAAAAAAGAAAAGCAAACCATCTCCTGTTCTCCAGGCCCTCTCTATTCAGTGGGGGATAAAGACCTATAAATTGTTCCAACATAGTATACTGTGGTTTAGATTTAAAAGTGGGTCAGCACCATCAGCATGGTTAGGTCTATTCAGTGTCCACAAGCCAAGTACGGTAGACTAAAGA